TTTTTTTTTTTTTTTTTTTTTTTTTTGGTCTGTCTTTGAATTGTGTGGACATAGAAGGCTTGCTTGAAAAAAAAAAAGGCTTGCTTATGACCTTGATGTTGCCCAATTTTTCGCCGATTCGGAAGTAGTCAGAAGTCTTCAGGTGAACAGTCCATTTTGCGGCAGCTGTCTCCTCTGCTTTATTTCCAGAAATTATTCAAATGAACGTTTCTTTCTATGACGGGAAGGGGGGATTTTATTCTAAACAATTTGTTTCAAAGATAAGGCATTTGATTAATCAACTCTAGGAGGGGATTGAAAACAGGCTTTTTTTCTGCACGGATTTGCAAATAAATAACTGAAGGCAAAAAGAAACTAACTGAAGTAACTCTGGCAGAATCAGAGAATCCTGTTGAGGGCTTTCAGTGTTCAATAGAGACTCAAACGCGCGCACTTTTGTGGTGGCCCGAGTTTTACACGCAAAAGAAACTTGGGCCTTCCTTTTTGTTCAGGCCGCGCCAGAGAGCTGCAAGGTGCCCTTTTTTTCTTTGCAACTGAACTGCCTATGGTATTCCCACTAGGGTTAATTGCGAAAATAATAAAATATTGCTTTTTCCAAGATTGGCAGCAGAAATGTTATCCGTTCGAAGTTTCCTTTGCAAAAATAGAGGTTTCGTTTGCATGTTTACGGGGTTCCCATAGTTTGCCAGCAAAAATAAAAATACAGCGTATGTAGTACGTTAGAGTTACTTCAGTTAAGGACCCCTAGGCCTTGGGCACAACTTTCTTTTTTTTCTTTTGCATTTAAAACTCGGGCCATGACAAAAGTGGGACTGCGAGTTCGGTTTGTATATAAATTTAAAAAAAAAAGAAAGGGGCAAGTACGTTGGAGTCGCACCCAACGTTCAGAACAGGCAACTTAAATTAGCAGTTCGCCAAATGTAACAAAAAAGGCAACCCTAAATTCCTTTGTGATTGTGCAGTTGATGCCTCTTCATAATGATGTTGTCTTTAAAATTTTTGGTCCTTTTCTTTTCTTTGGGGGAATGTCTTTAAATGACCTTGTGCTTGTTTTGCTCTTCCTGAACGGAAGTGTACGGTCTCGGATGTTGTGTACAGAATTCCTTTTAATCACATTTGTTTCTGAGTTTCGAGAGTTATCTTCTCTGGTCTGCCTCGCTTGCCGCACAGGTTTTGAAAAAGCGTTGTAGAGAGCTGAAAATTCCCCGATGGCCTCACCGCAAGGTTGGTTTTCCTTTGAGATGTGGTGCTGCTCAATTGCTTGCTCGAATTTATTTATTTAGTATTTAGTATTTACATAATACATTTCTTTATTTACATATCACGCACGAATATGTGAATATGTACGGAAATATGTTGGTAAGTTTGTATGGACGCATGCATATATGACGTACCTGGGTCACATGCATGCACATACTATCTACGTAAGTCTTCTTCGTTGGTGCGTGCATATATTATGTGGCAAGGAGTCCATGCATGCATGTATGTATGTGGTAAGCATGCATGCATCCATGTATGTATGCATGTATGTATGCATGCATGTATGTATGCATGCATGCATATATGTATGAATGCATGTATGTATGCATGCATGCGTGTATGTATGTATGCATGTATGTATGTATGTATGCAGGTTAGTCTGCATGCATGTATGTGTATGCACGCGCTTGCATGTATGTATGCATGCAGGTTAGCCCACGTGCATGCATGCATGTGCTATGTACATAATTCCTCATTGATGCGTACATATATATATGTATGCAACTTAGTCCACATGCCTGCATGTACGTACGTAAGTCTGCATGCATGCATGAAAGCACGTGAGTCTGCATGCATGCATGAAAGCATGTGAGTCCGCATGCATGCATGTGTGCATGCATGTACTGCATGAACACATACATGTATGCCAGTATGTATGTATGCATGTAAATCTGCATGCCTGCATGCATATATCTATGTATCTGTTTAAGTCGGCAAGCACAAATGGATGTTCGTCTACATGCATTCATGCATCTATGTATGCATGAAAGCACGTGAGTCTGTGCATGATGCATGCATGTGTGCATGCATGTACTGCATGAACACATGCATGTATGCCCGTACCTATGTATGCACATAAATCTGAATGCCTGTATGCATATATCTATGTATCTATGTAAGTCCGCATGCAGAAATGGATGTCCGTCTACATGCATCCATGCATCCATGCATCCATGTCTGTATGTGTGAGTTGCGAGGCCTATGCCTGTATGTGTGAGTTGTGAGGCCCCTGCCGTGACCAGCTGCCGTCTTCCCTTGAACACAGCCCACTCAGATTTTGAATGTGCATAAGCTATGTTTCTGGCCGGATGCAGCCATGATGAGGGGTGTGTTGCGTTGGGGGAAAGACGGCAGCCGTCCCACTCGTTGCATTCCCTTAGCTGCAGGGTCGACGGGCTATGATGGCGAAGGGAATAGGGACCCGACAGCCAAGTCCAGGCGAGGCAGGAGGTATGGACGGCTAGATCAGTCCTTGGGGGGGAAGGTCCCACTACTATCTTCCCCCGAACACAACGTAGCCTTATTATGAATGTCTACAAGCTGTCTATCGTGTCCGACACAGTCATAATCAGGGTGCGTTGTGTTCGGCCACTAGCAAAGGCGATTGGATTTAACGCCTGAACCTGGATGGGTTTGAAGGATATATATGCAGAAAAGGCATATCAATGGAGATTTTCCTCACCTGTCCACAAATCACGTCCAAATTCAGGCCTGAGGTACAATCCTCTTTGCCTTGGGACCTCTTCCGCGGATATCCGTCGGAATTGGAACGATAACGAGAAGGATGACTGACACTCACTGAGGCCTTATGGTGAAAAGACTCAACTCTGTCCCCCCCCTCGAAAAAAAAAAAAGTGCAATCAGCCCTCATATTTTTTGTCTCCGTCGAAACACCTTGCATAGCCACTATTGTGCGGACGGACGATACCTCGGGAGCTCGTTTTCCTCGAATATAACGCCCCCTCTTTGTCAACAAATCCAGGCTATAATCTGGTGCAAGGAGCGAATATGAAACGCGTTCCCTCCCCGCCAAAAAAAAAATTAAAAAAATTGAAACGCCCTTGATTCCGGCAGATTGTTACCTCTAAGGCGTGCTCCTGGACATGATAGGGACCAGGTGCATCCTGGCACGAGCAGTTGCGTCCTGACACTGACAGTTGCTCAGCTCACAAAACACACAAGAATTGGGCTCCTCCACTGTGCGTTCCCCCTCTCCCCCCCTCCCCTCCTCCTCTCGCTCGAACGTCCGGGACTCCCGGGGAAGAGGGCGACCACGCCGACGAGTACATATGCCAATGCAATTTTTTTTATTATTTTTTTTCCCGATGCAATTTCTGTCAGTTGAGAGGGAACTGGTGGCCGTTTCAAGAAACAAAGAAGAAAAAAGAGAAAAGGAGGAAATGGTGGCCGCCTTGAGTTCTAACGGGACATCTGACCCCCGCGGACCCCCAACAATTCCCCTTCCCCCGCCTCCTTCCCCGCCTCC